ATACTTAGGTCCTTTGTTGGGATATACAACCTTGATTATGGCTTATGGTTTTTACGTGGAGTCATTTGGTTTCATAAATTTTGTTTCGAAAATGGTGGCGTGTGGACATTGGTTGCTATGGGCAGAGGTTTTTTTTTGGGGTTTTCACCATAGGAAAACGGTTATGTAATAATAATCGTTGGTGGCCTTTGTGATTCAATGCCAATAATGATTATCTTGTTTAAGTCTCCGGTCTTTAAAATGGCATTGTTCACTACTGTAACCCACGTACATCATCTTCTGTAATTGCTGAAGTAGACCCGCGCTTGCTTGCCTCCAATCTTCTTTTTAACTATGATAAACACTACTACACAAAAGTTAAGTCTCAAATAACAATATTTTATTTTAAATACTGAAATATTATTAATGAGAATTTGCATATACAGTTAAACCCTCTCTATAACACCCCCTCTTGGGACTCACCAAAATAGGGTGCTATAGAGAGGGGGTGCTATAGACAGGTCACTTTTAATGTACAGTTAAACCTGTCTATAGCGCCCCCACTTGGGACTCACCAAAATAGGGTGCTATAGAGAGGGGGTGCTATAGACAGGTCACTTTTAATTTACAGTTAAACCTGTCTATAACACCCCCACTTGTGACTCACCAAAATAGGGTACTATAGAGAGGGGGTGCTATAGACAGATCACTTTTAATATACAGTTAAACCTGTCTATAGCGCCCCCTCTTGGGACTCACCAAAATAGGGTACTATAGAGAGGGGGTGCTATAGACAGATCACTTTTAATGTACAGTTAAACCTGTCTATAGCGCCCCCTCTTGGGACTCACCAAAATAGGGTACTATAGAGAGGGAGTTCTATAGACAGGTCACTTTTAATGTAATTCGCATCGTACTACGTATTTAAAATCGGGCGCTATAGAGAGGGAGGAGCTATTTAGAGGGGGCGCTATAGACAGGTTTAACTGCATATTATATAATGAGGTCTTAACACAGAAATAATGTAATATATTCTCCTCTCAATATATAATAAATATTTAAAATATGTATATAATAATGTGTATATAAAAATTGTATATATCATCAATTTACTATCGTGATTACAATTTTACAATTACAATTATTTTATTTCCAAAGCGCTATATCCCGCAAGGGATACTTGCGCCAAACAAGGAGAAAAGTTTATTTACATAAGTTATTTACATTATTCAACGCATGAAAACATTAGAGATCCAGATTTTGTAGAAAGTTTAGAATGTATTTAAAAAATGAATTGAACTTTAAATATGATTTTTTTTATCGTAAATCAAATTGTTAAGTTCACAAACAACTAGTTCATTCTTCATTCTATAATCTTGAAATGCTGGGTAATCGATCAGTAGATGTCTTGAGGTTTGTTCCCCAATACCACAAAAGCAATTTGAATCCTCCATTGCCTTTATTCTATTTAAAAAACTTTTGAAAATTCCGTGGTTTGTAACAAATTGAGTATTATAAAAATTTGGACGAAGGTATTTAGGGATTTCTTGGGGATACTCCTGTTGAAGGACTAACAAGTACGAAAGTTTGAAAATAAAAAGTTGAACAAGAAACTTAACCCTGGAAGCTTTATTTACATTTATAATCTTCTTTTTAATTATAAAAAAATTATGATAGACACTAATACACAAAAGTTAAGTCTCAAACAACAAGATTTTTTTTATAATTACAAAAATATTATTAATGGTAATTTGCATATGGGATATGGTAATATATAAATACAAATACGCGCCTCTACAATTCTCTTCATATTTAATGAAAACTGTGATATAATTAAATATATAAAACTTTTAAAAAGTGGACGCAATAGAAAATCTTCATTGTAACGTAGAAAATTAAGAAAGACAAACTTCAGGATGATACAGCAATTTATATTACGATGCACTTGCGCACCATCTGTTATCAAAATTCGAAACTATATTAAACAGTATCACTATAAAAGGAAGTTCCAAAAATGCAATATAACAGCGGTATGGTAGATTAAACTGGCGAAACCGTTGAGAGGGTTCACCACTGATGAGCCAGGCCCTCCCTTTAATTTTTCCATTGCAGTAAGGGCAGTAGAAATTGTTTAATTTCAAAAAGAATCTTACGCGTCTAAAATAGTTTCTAATTTTGACAGCAATTTATAACTGAAATTTCATTTATTGAAACTAAAAGGAATACAATACGATGCTTAATATTATATGATCATTTTTACATATTCATGTATGAATAAGACCCCCTGAATACATATATGAATACATATTTGATATAGATGGAATTTTTCCAGGAGGAAATTGATCTAAAGAGACAAAAATCGCCTCTCCCGTCAAAGATTTAGCCATAGATATGGCCCAGCCACTTTGCCAGCTAAACACCTATTTGGCAGATTGTCAAGATTCTATTAGATCCCGTGTGGATCTCATGGAATAAAGTCCGCCCTAGACTGACGAGGGCCATTAGCCCGAAACCACGGTCTCTAGGTGGACGCTTTTCAGTTTGCCAAAGCTGGTGTTGTAGCTTTTTCACCGACCTGAGTCCTCTTGTTTGCGGCGACGGTCAATAAATGACGTCAAGTTTTGACGTCTATTTTGACGGGAGAGGCGACCTTTGTTCTCTTTATATTTGATATGTTAATTAATTTTTTTTTTCTATAAAATAATTTTGTTCCCTAGCTCTTGCACATCCGTGAACCATAAGATAAGTTAAGAAAAATATATCTCTTTATCGCGCTACTGAAAGTTGCTGATGGCTGACGCCATCTATCGGAATAAATATAAACTATTATTTGATTTTTAATTATTTCAGAATTGACCAAATACCCATTCTTGATTAATCAAGAAAAGCTAACCACATACGTGTTTCGGTCTAAACAGTCATCTTTTCTTGATTAATCAATAATGGGTATTTGACCAATTCTGAAATAATTGAAAATCAACGAATAGTTGATATTTATTCTGATAGATGAAGCCAGTCATCAGTAACTTTCAGTTATAAGATAAGGAGATGTCTTTTTCTTAATTTATATACATTATCCCAGTACAATATCACATTTGTTCTATTTTTTTTTTTCACATTTTATATCATAAGAGTTTTAAAACCTTATTAAATAAAGCTTTCGAACTCCAGTTCTTCCACAAACAAAATATTAAACTAAGAGTGAACGTTGGAGAGATCTAACATGTTTTCATCTTAACAAACAACTTGTACGAAAACACGTAGATTTTTTGGGGGGTCAGTGGAAGGCTGGTTAAACTGTTTGGTTTTCGACCACTACGACCCGGGTTCGATTCCCGCATTGGACACTTTTTTCTGTTAAAAAAAAAATGCTCCAATGGCTCCCGATTCTTGCAAAAGTCCAACCCCACCAGCGAGTGCAAGTAACCAAACGGGGCTCGGGCACATTTGTAAGTGCAAAGTCGAACTGCTTTTCACATATGTAGACATGTGGTGCACTTACAGTAAAAGCAGTCGCTAACTACCCACCATGATTATCATGGCCTGTACCACGTGTACTAGGGATAAGCAAAAAAAGGGTAGATTTTCCCCAATTTATCAACAAGTCATCAACAGTGAGAGCAAATAGCCAAAAAGAGCTTTGACACTTTGTAAGTGTAAAGTTGAACTATTTCTACGTGTGTAGAGACGTCCACCCAGTTGGAGAAATACGAAAAGTACCAAATGTTTCCCTCTGTATGCATAGGAGACCTCCCACTATTAAATCTAGATAGTTTATTTTACTATGTATTATGTGGGATGTTATAAGGTTATCCCAAAAGTTCGTGTTTTTCTTGTTAATTATGTATAATAGGATAATCTAATTATATAATTACCTTATTCTGTCTGTGTGAAGTTCACGGATAGATTTTGGTCATCAACGCGCGCATCATCATTATGATCATCATCATTATCTAATGATAATTATTATTATTATTATCTACTTATATAACAATACTTAAATGAAAATATGTTTCTTTAAATAAAATAAATTAATAATAGTGTTTGCTTACTAATTAGAATACTTGATCTAAATCGAAATATTTATAGACGCTCGCTCGATTTGAAGATTTATATCGTAACTAATCTGACTGTAAAGTTTGGAGCGGGACGTTTCACAAGAGTGACATCCACGGCGCCAATTTATAATTGTAACGAATAGTGTTTGAATAAAACATTCAATCGGATAAACCCGGGCGTTGCCCGGGTCATTCGTCTAGTAATGTATATAATTTATAATATAAAATGTATATAATAGGGAACCGTGTAGGAAAATCAACTTTGAAAAGATAATCTCTCCTCTTTTTCAAAGAGACATGTGCATTCAAATATATGATTTAATAATTCAGATTTAATTTCCTTTTTACATAGTATGCAATATATACACTCATGGTCGAAACTTAAGGAAGTTGTACCTTTTAGCATGTATATCGGGATTCAGACAATAACTATGAAAGATATTAGTGTGAACTTTATTGAAGACACGAGATAACCAAGTATGAACAAAACTTTAGGAAGTTGCATATTTTAACATGTATATCGGGATTCATACAATAACTCTGAAAGATATTACAGTGACCTTTATTGAAGACACACGAGATAACCAAGTATGAACAAAACTTTAGGAAGTTGCATATTTTAGCATGTATATCGGGATTGAGACAATAACTCTGAAAGATATTACAGTGACATTTATTGAAGACACACGAGATAACCAAGTGTGAACAAAATTTCCTCTGTTTTCTTCAAAATATAGATGATTGGGACATCAAAATATGAAACTTCCTTAAGTTTGTCCATGAGTGGATATTGACCAGCGTTGATAAATCCGAAGATATGAAATCTTTCATAGAGAAGAACCTCGACAATTCTGGTTATTGAAGCAGCTGATTGTTCCTTCACCTTTTGAACATATTTAACTTGATGCATCAGCGCGAAATCTGTTATGAATATTCGAAACTATTTTCAAAAGAATCATACGCGTCTATAATAGTTTAGGGGGGGTCGGTGGAAGGCTGGTTAAACCGTTTGGTTTTCGACCACTACGACCCGGGTTCGATTCCCGCATTGGACACTTTTTTCTTTCAAAAAAAAAAATGCTCCAATGGGCCCCTCGATTCTTGCAAAAGTCCAACCCCACCAGCGAGTGAAAGTAACCAAACGGGGCTCTGGCTCTGGTAAGTGCAAAGTCGAACTGCTTTCACATGTGGTGCGCTTACAGTAAAAGCAGTCGCTAACTACCCACCATGATTATCATGGCCTGTACCACGTGTACTAGGGATAAGCAAAAATATATATATATAATAATTTCGAACATATTTAACTTGCGATTTCCCAGTGCAAAGGCAGCTATAGGTCACATATAGTGTCCATTTGACCTGTTTACTATATACACACACCTCTATTGTAATAAAGATTATTTCCTTCTCTTACACTTTTACAAAATCAATAACGAATCAAAGGTTTGGTTTCTTTTTTACAATTCTTTTATTTCTCGGGATTACGGGCTAACATGCCCTTCAACACAGAGATCCAAGAATACTACTTCATACCTCTATTATATATCTCTTCATTCTGATCAAATATTTGCTGTGGTCCTTTGTTGCAAATATTCAAAAATGAATCTTTCTCTCCTTAGTCCCTTCATCAACTTCAGAGCCTGTTTAGTCTATTTGTCAGTGATAGAGAGCATCATGTATCCTGGTTCAAAATCACATTAATAGGTACCGCTCAGCAAGAGCACCCTAGTTCATGATAATTGAAGCAGTGAATAATATGTGAAGGTTATTCACATATTAAACAAAATTTTAACGCGGGATTCAATCCCGGTTTATGACTGTCGGGAATCGAGCGTTTTACCCTCTCATCCACCGACTTAGCATCATGTATGAATCATATTTTTGACTAAAAGTCAGAAATTTTGAAAAAAAAAATCATTATGGATAAATTCATTTGGTTATTGAGATACTGCTTGCATTACGCTGATGAGGGCTAACAGCTTAAAACGCCTACGTAGCTAGCTTTTCTTGATTTATAAAGAAAGGGTATTTTGACCAATTCTGTAATAATTAAAAATCAACAATTAGTTGATATTTATTCCGACAGATGGCGTAAGCAATCAGTAACTTTTATTTTCATTATCAGGAGAAGCCTTTTTTTCTTAATAAATCCTTCTGATCCTGGTAAAATTTCACTTTTAATATTTTACACAAATAAATTTACTGGCAATGCCTTTCTTTTAAATATCATCAAATATTATCTCTACAGACCTTACTGCAATGATATGAGTTATTGAATGAGAGGGCTTGACTCATCAGTAGTGAACCCTCTCAGCGGTTTCGCCAAATTAATCTCTAGACCGCTCTACTATTGTATTGGATTGGTTTGGAATATACCCTGTATTTTCTATGGAAGGCAGCTTAGGGGTGTTTAGTGAACTATGGATATACACAATACACAAGCCCTCTCATTCAATAACTCATATCATTGCAGTAAGGTCTGTAGAGATAATATTTGATGATATTTAAAAGAAACGCATTGCCAGTAAATTTATTTGTGTAAAATATTAACGATTAACGATTTATAAATTTAATTTCACTTTTGTACTATTTTTCAAATATATTTCTGTTTTCTAAATGTTTTTTTTTTCAACAGACGTAATTCTCAATTGCTTTGATAACCTTGAAGGTTGTGTGATTACTCAAGGACGTCTTGTGAGAGACCTTCATCTATTCTTTGATGTTTATCTCTTCAATGCTGACGACAGATCTTTTGTTTAGGCTTGAGGAGTTTGAAGTACACCCTAGGAGTAATATGGTCACCCAGACCTCTCGGTCCATAAGCCGATCCTTTTACACTAGCCACCTTGCCAAGGGAATGATGTATTCTCCATGCACCGAGCGGCCAATTGTTTGTCCCCTCGCCTTTATGGTCTAGGTTCCATGGGGTCGACCAATCAGCCTACAGACGTCTAGGAGAGTTCATCAGTTTGAAGTACATCCCAGGATCAATGGTCACCCAGACCTTTCGCTCCATAAACCGGCATGCGAAAGCATGCCCTCTGCTGCATTACCTAGGCCACCGTACCAAAGGAATGATGCATTCTCCATGCACCGAGCGGCCAATTGTTTGGCCCCTCGCGCCCGCCTTTATGGTCTAGCTCCATGGGGATGACCAATCAGCCCACAGGCGTCTCCGAGAGTTCATGGCAAGGTTGCTGTCCGAGCCCTCCCGTTCGGACTTGGTTTAACCCGTCCTACGCTCCAATAGGACTCCCCCCCCCCTCCCTTTGGCCCTCGTACCTTTTGTTCACAGTACTCCCTGAATCTGCCGACGAATCAAGGACCTCTGAGGTTCCGAGGTTGACGCGGGGACACCACGCGGAGGCAGGAGGGTGGTACTACTGTGTGTGCCCCTTGGTTTTCCATGGCGCGCACGGCAAGGACGCTTCCAATGTCGCACACACAGAGCGAAGACCCAAGAGTTTCTAAACCCCATCCTTTCAGCCTTACCAGTACTCCACTAGGTCATCGGCTAACACACTCTTTCCTTTCCTTTCAGCCTTACTAGTACTCTCCGCCAGATCATCGGCAAACTATTCACTGTAGTCAACTGCGGCATCTAACAGTTTGAAGTACAGTAGTTCTAGCGATCTTTCTGACTTCCCAATCTATATCCAATCTTACATACTCCTGGCTGGCTTAAACCAATAAGATTTAACTTTCCGTACAAGTTACAAGTACTTGTACCAAGTCATGAGCATTTATTTGACTAAAAATTGCATTTAACATTCCGGTGAGCGATATCCTTTGAGTACACAGGGCAACAAAAAAAAATAGACGACTGTGACATCAAAATATAGAACTTCTTTTAATGTTAAACACAAGTTAATAAAACCAAATTCAAATAAATAGTGCGTGACGTTTCGGTAACAGCGTTTTTACCATCTTCAAACAAAAGTACTGAAATAAATTGTGCCTTATCATGTTATACACAACGCACATTTGTGTTAATTTATGCCTAACAAGTTAATAAGACCAAATTCAAATAAATAGTGTGTGACGTTTCGGTAATAGCGTTTTTACCATCTTCAGACAAAAGTGCTCAAAAAAATTGTGCCTTATCATCTTCCTTAAGTGTTGTCCATGTGTGAATATTACTCTGGATTTTACTTAGTTACTTAATATTACTTAGTTGTTAGGGAAAAGATGGTTGGTGTATCTGAACAGATGAGATGAATTTTTCTATTTCATATCAACGTTGTCTTTGACGGATATTGACAAGTACGTTACAAAGTGGTGTATTCAACAAAGATGCATATATTGGATTTATAATTATTTTATTGTTCCAATATTTCGAGGTGCAACTCGCCACTCTTTATCGAGGATGTTTGTGTTTTTCACTAAAACATGCGCGCACGCGTACACCACTCTCGTTCTACAAGGCCAATGAAAGAATTGTATCTTTGATTTAAATATTACATTCAGTATATATACAGATAACAATTATATATAATATTACAGATCAAAATATACAATTCTTTCATTGGCCTTGTAGAACGAGAGTGGTGTACGCGTGCGCGCATGTTTTAGTGAAAAACACAAACATCCTCGATAAAGAGTGGCGAGTTGCACCTCGAAATATTGGAACAATAAAATCATTTTAAATCCAATATATGCATCTTTGTTGAATATAATTTTAATTATGAATTTCTCAATCTTCAAAAAGTGGTATATATAATAAATGAAAATATAAGATGCGAATGTTTCTTTTCACAAATAAATCAAACTTCTACTGTTCTTACTGTGATGAAAATAAATATTGGGAGGGTTTTGCTCATCAGTGGTGAACCCTCCCAGTGTATGTCGTTGTGTAAAGTGATCTGAACATCCATGTAGAAGCTATCTACCCGATGCCTAGAGTCAAAGCGAGTGTTGACTACAATCTACAGATTGTTGGCTGATTGTTGCCTGGGGATGGCACCGCGGAGGACCGAGGATGACCTGTGTCTGACCGTTAGCGGACAGAATGGCAAGTCCCTCAGATTCAAGGTGAAGGGGACCACCAAGATGGCGGAGATCCGAAAGATGTTTGCTCAGAAGACCGGTGTACCTCAGGACTCACTTCGTCTGGTTGTGGATGGACATCGAGTCAAAGACACGGACACTGTTAAAGGACTGAACCTCTCAGGTGGCGATCTGGTCGAAGTCTTCTTCGAGCAAAGAGGAGGGCAGTTGGAGGCTTGTACCATTCCTTAGGTGATCATTCGACAACTTTCTCCACAAATCAGACATCTATTTCATCCCTGTGCTAAATCAATAGTTGCGAATATTTCCCAGTCAAAGACTATTTTATCCAAATAATTTCAAAATTAAACTACAATATCCCAAATAATCTTATTTTTACTTCGTCGCAAACTTTTGCGACTTAAGATTCAATCAATTTTTTCCTCATGGTCTTCTTTATTTCAAATATTTATGTATTCTAAAACAGATATTGGGGAACTAAACGTGAGATTTTTGTATTATTCTCCCTCCAAATAACACACACACACAAAAACCTTTATTAAGACACACAGGTCTTACAGAGGATTCTCCTTGGGGTTACAAGACGGAGAAACCCATGAAAGTGGGAAATATACAAAGGGGTAAAAATGGAGAAAGATTATATACCATGGTACACATGGTAAATATATACAGATTATTATTTGAATAATCCTATGGAAAATAAGAATATGGATTTGGAAAAAAAAATCTCTCTCCAAATAACAAGTTTCTAGATATCAAACATCATTTTGGAATTATGACTTCAAACCAACCTACATATTGTCACGCTGGCTAAACATCGAAGCCAATGAATCAACCAAAGATTTCCCAAGGATATCGAAAAGCTAATCTTATCTTGGTTTTAATCATTTTAATCGACTTATCTGTTTCTTACCATAATTCCGAAGTTTTTTTTTTGTTTTTGTTAAAGAACTTTTATTTGAACGAAATAAGTGTTTATGCTGCAGCAATTGGTTGGGCCGTGATTCAGTAAGTTCGCTATCAGTGGGTTGCTATATTACGTCCCCGC